TTGAAGAAAAATAGTCAGAGGAGTAGGGCTGAACATTAATTAAGTTCATAGGGCGACGAGGGGAGGAGGAGTATTTGACATGTGCATTTAGGTTAGGAAAGTAGGCGGAGCCATTTAAAAATTTATAGAGAAGAATTAGTTGAGCTTTTAGCCTACGATGTTGAATGGAGAACATATTGAGGATAGAGAGACGATCAGAATAGGAACTGTACTGGATATTACAACGCTGGAAAATACACTTAGAGAAAAATCTTAAGGGAGATTCTAGTTTTAGAGCAAGGCGAGAAGAAGGCGGAGGGGAATAAACTACAGAACAATATTCAAGAATCGGGAGAACATAACATTTGAAAAGATGAATGTAGAATTCTGGAGACTTAGATCTAAATGACTTTAGGAGTTGTTTGGAACGGAGAAGAGCTAAAGATGTGATTTTGTTGATGTGAGCAGAGAATTTGAGAGAGGAATCAGTAATGAGACCCAAGTCCCGGACGGAGGAGGAGGGAGTAAGTGCGGTACCCGCAATATTGAGAGGATGGGAAGAATTATAGGAACATAGGCGAAGAAGGGCAGTTTTAGAGTGGGCAAGAGAGAGATGGTTGGCGGTAGCCCAATTTACAACCATGTTGATACCAGTTTGAAGGGCGATTGGGTCATGAGAATACAGTTTGATATCATCAGCAAAGGCGGCAAGGTGAAGAGGGGATTTGTTCAAGTTCTAAAAGCAGATCATTGATGAAGATGAGAAATAGTAAGGGACCGGAGACTGATCCTTGAGGAACACCAGAGGGAATGACAGAGGAAGGGGGTCCAATAAAATCATAGATTTTGACAGAGAACGTTCGATCAGAGAGAAACGAGGAGAACCAAGCTACGTAAGATTTAGGGACTCCGAAGCTAGCAAGTTTCTGGATGAGAAGTTGATGATGTACCTGGTCGAAAGCTTTGCGGAAATCGAAAAAGACGACGTCTAGTGTATTGTATCTCAAAAGAGTAGCTTTATAATTCGAAAAAGATTGAACTAGAGAGGTGGTGCAGGATCTGTAGGATAGAAAACCATGTTGAAGACTACTGAATTGATGGAGGAATTCCCATTTGATGCGATCACATACCAATCGTTCGAAAATTCGAGCGAATGGGTCAGTAAGCGAAATGGGGCGATAGTTTTCGGGCGATGAAGGAGAACCCTTTTTTGGTATGTGAACGACTACTGCGTGTTTTCAAGAGTCGGGTACATGTGACGTGGAGAGTGAGTCAGAGAAGATAATCGATAAAGGTAATGCTAGAGTGGTGGCGCATTTTTTAATGATAAAGTAATTGGCCGAATGGGGAGAATAGCCATGGGGAGAATAACCGAGTTCAACCCCTCATGGGGGTTCTCTATGCAAAATATCAGGAAAACTTTTTTTTTGGTGTCTGGCCTCCTTTAATGTCCACAAAATCAGATAAAAAGTTCTAAAATTATGGTTTTAGACCTGCAATTGTGATCGCGCCAAATTGTTTTTCTGTAGATCAAAAATCAATTTGCAGTTCGGAAATGTTCTGTGGGAGAGCGTGCCATCCCCAAACGAAAAATCACGCAAACATCTTAATCAAAAACGTTAATTTTCAGGTACGGAAATGGTTTAATAATAAGACAGGAAAATCCAGAATGGGTGAATGGTGAGAGAGGAGGACCCTTCTTCTCACCCGTTCTCTGTTTCCCACCCCACCTGGCCTCCCCGCCCCTCCGACTTCGATTCTTCTCTGCGTCTCTTCTTCCTCCTTCATACTCTGGTTGTCTGCCGTTTAGAGCAGGCGTTCCTGTGCGTTGGAAAGAATATATGTCAGTCTTGTTTTGGCCGCCTGACTGAATGGTGGCCTGAATATTCCGGGGACTTTCTATTGATTTCTGCAAATGAATTGATTTGGAAAGCTCCCCTTATTTTTCTAAAAAATTTCTCATTCTCTATTATTCGGTTCTTTCCAGAAATCCTTCTGCATGGTTTTCGGAAAGTTCCTTTTTGATTTTTCTGAAAAGTCTTTATTCTTCTAGTCGATCCAAAAGGTAAATATTATTTTTAAAACAAATATTTTGTTTGAAATTCAAAACATTGGGACCCGAATACGGTACAGTGCTCAAAAGTGAATTCAGTTAGGGCCCAATTCAAACTAGTGTGTTATCAGACCAATTCTTATGGAAGTTTTTGTGAGAGATCCATTTTGAGAACGTCAAATTAAAAGGAAAAATTCACTGGTCAACCCGCAAAGTATCGCTGAAATTTTATCGCTGAAATTCAATTTTCATTATATGAATCTTTCAGATTAAGGATTGGTTCGGTCGACAACGCCATTTGAAAAGTCAGAATCAATTCACAACTGCCATGAAAACATTTTTCCGATTTACAGATTTCAAACTGGCTGCAAAACAAAAGGAGAAATACTCTGGAGTCATTTTTAAAAAAAGAAATTTCGGTGCTGTCGAATGAGATGGACATTTTCGAAAGACTGTACGAGAAGTACGACAATCCCACTCATGAAGATGTGATTCTTTATATTGAAATAAATATTTCTGAAAAGAGCGTACTCCTCTTGCGATTCCACTATGCATTATATTCACAGAAAGTTATCGAGTTGGAAGAATACCAAAATCTTGGAAGGAGGCGATTGTTATGCCGCTTCATAAGAAAGGCTCCCGCTCCGATCCTTTAAATTATAGACCAATCTCTTTAACATCCAATATATGCAAGATTATGGAGAAGTTGATACGAAAACATCTAGTCCAATACTTATCCGAAATAATCTATTATCAGAAAAACAATTCGGGTTCCTTAATCAGAGAAGTACAATTTCCCAACTGATCGCCTACCAGAACAAGCTTGTTTTCAATTCTTTAAATGGGTTAGATACCCATAGCGTCTATATTGATTTCCAGAGGGCCTTCGATACAGTGCCGATAAACAAATTGATTCATAAGTTGGAAAGCTTTGGGATATCTCCCAAACTAAGAAATTGGCTCCATTCATCTGTCACGGACAGAAAATTTCAAGTCAAAATCAATGATATACTATCGAAGGAGAGGCGCGTATTGTCCGGAGTCCTCTGTTCTTGGGCCTACCCTCTTCTTGTTATATATTAATTGTATTGGTGACAAATTTCAAAGTGACTATCTACTGTTTGCAGATGACTTGAAAATTTATGATACGAATGATAGATTGATTGATGCAGATTTAACATCAAATTCAATGCAACAAGAAAATATGCCAACTCCAATGTTATGAATCCCAAATTAAATCAAGCTTTGATTCCCCCTGTGGAAAATGTCCGTGATCTTGGGATCTACTTCTCCAGTAACCTGAGTTTCCATTATCATTATTTGTTGATTATTCGGAAATCACATCAGAGGATCAACATGTTCTTTTACATTCTAAAAAACGCATCGTGGAGTGTTTTTATAAAATGCTATACAGTTTACATACGCCCTTTACTCGAATATGGAACGATAGTCACTTCTCCAATCCTAAAGGATCATATTATCAGAATCGTCCATTAGAAATCAAGGACATTCCACTTCTCAACAGTTCCAGAGAAGGGGACCAGAAACCACCAGTAGTGAATCACATCCAAAATACGTTCGACGACTTCCCGGACGAGACCAAGAATGTTCCACGATTTGTCCCTGCCCCAGGATATCGAAGCTCTGTTCCACGATTTGTCCCCTGCCCAGGATATAGAGATCAAAGCGAGGAACCGCGTGATGATGTTGAAGGAGAGTACCAATTCACCAAGATATTGAAAAAAAAATACATTTCAATGATTGTGATATAGTTTCTCCCTTTTTTTATACTTCTCCCTTTCTTCATACCATGATTTCTCTTTTTCCTAATTTCCTTCCTCTCCTTCTCGAGACATCTCCAAGCTTGTGTTCCATTGAATCCTCTCATGCCTATTTTTTTATTTTGTTTTTTGATTTATCCCCTTTTCATTCATTTTCCCAGAAGCATATGTGTACATTTTAAATCTTTCATCACATCTGTATTAGAATTTTGAAAAATTGGGGACTTTTTCAATAAATACGATTTTTAGCAAATTTATTTTTTTCAAGAAAGGAAAAATAGTAAACAGTGGAAACTTAGTCAGTAAAAAGAAGTTGTTTATGGTGAAGCAAATTTTTATGGTTAAAAAATCGGCCACACACACACATACTCACACACATAAGCACACATTGACACACACGCATACATGAGGGACCTGTGCAATTTTGGGGTGAAACCTGTATTAGAACGACCTCTCTGATGGAAAAAGAGCTTGCAAAACCTTGTATTTATATAAGAGCCGGCCCTTCTAATACATGTTTTAGAGTGAATTACAAATAACAAGTGCTCTACTTTGAATAATTGAAATATAAAATAGATTATGTTACTCCAAATTAAACATTCTCAGCATTATAATCAAAATATCAAAAGGTCGCCGTGAAACCTGTATTAAAAGGGCCTCTTCGATAGAGCAATAGAAGGGCCCCTTTAATTGAAAGTTTTTTGTTATTAGGGCCCTCAAAAACTAGGTTGGAAAAATAGAAAGGTCGGCCCTTCTAACACAAGTTTTACGGTATTTTCAATTGACTTTTTTCAACTTTGAATAATTTTAAAAAAATCTACATGGAACATCTGTTGAATTAGCCGTGATCGATTCAATTGAGTCATATTCTGCATCTTTGAAACGATGATTCTGTGGTATCTTGACTGCTTATTGAATTTGATCCTTCTTTGTCATCATATGTCTGCAAATTAGATTATGAAAATGTGATCATAAAACAGCTGCACAGAATTCACGCAACAATTCCATCATGAATTTGCAATCAGAAATGGGAAATAATGTAATTTGCAGAATGTGTTTTTGACCAAAATTGTCCGTTTTAGAGTGCAAGTTTTCCAACTCGAACTATCCACTATATACAAGGTACGTAACAAGTATGCAATTTTTACGCGAGCTCCTGGCACCGTGCCAAATCCGATTTTTGAAAATTTGTGGAATAATTCAGAATTAGGGCTGTCTATAAGTCTTCAAGAAATATTTTCAATCACTATTTGTTCTTACCTAGAATTTGTTTTTCTACAACCCGTCTTGGCAAGGATCTTCGCGAAACAATTCTTTTACACTGGAAATGACCATGTTGATGTCGATTCCATGTGGTCCGTCAAGATTGCATTTTTCCGTCTACCTTGCCGCAACTTGGTTATCGGTTAATGATTTTGCTTCCGTGGACACAGTCTTTCTATCTTCATCCTAGACATCGTTTGAAATGACGACCCCTCGGTCGTCCTCCTTCAGGAAGACATATTTTTTCTTCACGTTTGACGCGAAGATCCCTTGGGCGAAACATGGGTGTTGCTCCTTGTCTGTGCCACCCGGGCCGTCCAGATTCCATTTTTTTTTCTCTTCTGAACTTGACCGCGAATTGGTCCTTGGTCCTTGATTGTGCTTTGGTGGAGCGTTACTTTGTTGGCATTAACTTTGTTCTTCCACACCCTGTTTTGGCAACGATCGTGGCCATTACCGCCAGAAATACTTCATCTTTTTTCCCACTCTTGAAGTGAGCATGGTGATGTCGATTCCATCCGGTCCGTCTATATTGAATTTATTTTTTTCTGGCCTCGATTTCGCTTCGTTGGTAGCTGCCTCGGCCGACATTCCCGGCTTTGTCATCAGCCTTTGCTTCCAAAACAAGCCCAAACCATCACACCTCGTCCTTCTTCAAAGCTTCTTTGCTCGAAATACATCTTTTGTTTCCTGATGTCGTGCCTGTCGAAACTTCTGCCGTCGGGACCGTCCAAAATGAATTTTTAAGCGCGAATTAAATGTCTTGTTTGCATTGCTTTTGGTCCTCTTGTTTGCATTCTTGCTTTTGGTCCTCTTGTTTGCATTCTTGGTTTTGGTCCTTGATTTTGCCTTGATATCCTGTGGCCTCTCTTACAGATGAGCCAATTAATCGAGTTTCTTGATGGTGACTTGGAGTCCTTCTTTGTCCTTTGGTGGAGCGTTGTCCTGTTGGAAGACAAGGGTGATGGTCGCCATGTCCGGCTCACGTTCTGAATATATAGTTTTATATTTCAAATTCGTATGCTAGAAAATTTTGTAGAACTATTCGGCAGTAAACCTAACATTAAGTGAAAAACTCACTAACCATTCGAAATGCATTTTGGTGCTACTTGTTGGTTTGACCATCTGGCCCATCTCGATTGCATCTTCTTCATCTTGGAAGTGACGACGAGGGCGTTTTGATTGCACCCTTATCCACCTGGTCCGTCCCGATTGAACTCTTGAATTGTTCATTGTCAATCCAAGCCGCCTTCTTCATCCTTAAAATGACGATGGCGTCAGCATCTTGATTGCTTCTTTGGTTTGTCATCATATATCTGCAAGTTAGTTGATAGAAGTGAACTGATAAACAGCACTCATGCAACGATCTCATTTCAAATTTGCAATTCAAATATGAAAATGGAATAAGTTGCAGGAATGTTTTCGACCAAAATTGCCCTTTTTAAAAATGCAAGTTTCCCAATTTTCTAAAACACTAACCTTTTCGGATTGCAGTGTTCGTTCTTATTCGAAATCCCAACAACACTCCCAGCTAATAAATGTCTTTCTTCAGTAGAAGAGTGACATTGTTTGTACACCTCCCTTGCATCCACACGATTCTGAGCATGCAAACCCAAACGTGGCAAATTGTCTCGGAGGTAAACCGGCTAGACTAGAAACGGTTATTCAACAATTAAAATTTAAATCAAAACTCACAAGGTCCGCTTTTGAGTGGGCATTCCTATCTGTTTTTTTTTGATTCCTCGCAGCCCAACATTCGCTTGAAGCAGGGGCATTTTTCATTGGCCCAACATCGTACTATCGATCCACTGTGGCAGCAAACACATTTAATCTGAAAAAGTTGGTTGATTAATTGATTGATATCTAGCAGTTATCCGCCTTTTGCGCTCGTGTTAACATTTTTATCGAGCAGTTCATGTATATCAAGAACTATTTTCTATCACTTTTCGTTCTTACCTTCCACACCTCGTGTTGGCAACGATCGTGGTCAGCATCGCCAGAAGTACTTCTTCATCTTTTTTTCACACTGGAAGTGGCCATTGTTATGAAGATTTCGTCCGGTCCGTCAGGGTTGAACTTTTTTGTTTGATCCTTGGTCGTCGTCCAACACGCAACATCTGGCGAGAAGAGAGACGTGCTTCTCACTAAAAATAATGTTTTTAAGAAAAAAGAAACACAACAGCTCGTCAAAATGAAGTTCATAGAAAAACGAATAAGTTCCAAATCACTAATATCAAGTACAAAGTCATTAACAATGAAACACAGAACAATTGGTGGCCGCGGGCAGGTGGAAGAACAAACTAAACTGTCGATGTGTCTGCGTCTGTTTCTGTGTGCGCGGTGAGAGAGTGTCTCTTGCGCGCGAACAGTTCGCTCGTCATAGGAAGAAGTGAGAGAGGTATTATATGTTTTTTCATTGCAATTTCGATTGGAAACTGAATATGGAGAAGATAAAATAATGTTAGAAGAATATACAGGACAGCAAAAAAAAAGAAAACAGACAAGTCTAAAATTTTAATGGAGTGGCCAGGATGAGAAAAATATAAAAGAAATGGACAATGCGGAAAAGTTTTACAACAAACATGATATAGAAAAAATCATATGAAATTCACTACATTTATTTTTGCTCGGGAAGGTTTGCCTGTAATGCAACACTTCTCATGAAAGAGAACTGTTAAAAATAGAAAACGTGTCTTATTTCTCGCCATTTTTGCATTTGAACAAAGTTTCAGCTCCATTCGACAGTTTCGTAGAAAATGATATGGGTAAAGATAAAAAAAGCCTAACGATTTTAGGATAAAAATGAAACATTAGGAAATTTACTACAGTTGAATTTTTCTTGGAAAGCTTCTCGGAATTATTTTCTTAATAGTTCTTGTTAGGTTTTCACCTCCATTCGGTAGTTTGGAAGAAATTTATGTTCGAAAATTGACTTTTTCCTTCAAATCTGTTTTGAGTTTATGATTTATGTCGAAAAGTAATTTCGATTGATATTTCTTTCTATTGCATTTTTTCCTTTGTACTTTTTCAAAACTTTTAATTTCACCTTAGAAGAATCAAAAGTCCATTTCACATTTTGATGATCAGTTACGAATTGTACACTTTGTTATTGCGATACATCTCAATTATCTGTTACCACGCCGCATTCTTCTAGCACTTCAAAACCGATGCGCTCCCTCCCGAGCGCAGTTACTATACAAACTGAAATGTTATACGATCTACTTCACGCACTTATCCCTTTGCCCTTCTCAATCATTCGGGAGGAGCTTGTTTGTGAGTAATGAAGAGGGGCGCTGCTGGCTTGTAGGTGGGCTCTATAAAACGGACGAGTGAGGTGTGGTCAGGATGGACAATAACAGTGCGAAGAAGAGATCATCGGACCGAAGGGTGCTCTTGAGATCTGGCCTGGTGTGCATTTCACTGCTGATATTATGTACACAGAGGTTGGGAATCGTTTTCGAATTTTATTTTCAAAATTCTGCTATACTGTTTTGTCCCAAATGACATCTCGTTAAGTAGTGGTGCCGCTCTTATTAGAATTATCAAGTAATAAGAGTTGTTCGCTACTTAACGAGAGGAAATTTGGAAAGATGTGTCAGTTGTGAGTTTTTTAAAAGTTGGATGTATGGAAATCATATTTATTAATTCATATTTAAAAGTCATTCATTGGCATGTTTCTGGTAAATGCTCTGCTCATTCTTCGATTCTGTGAAACCTGAGCAAAAGATCGTGTGGTAAGTGAAGAGGATCCTTTTGATGTGTGAGATGCGTAGGAGGTAGCAGTGGAGCAGCGACGCACTGAATCAGGAAACTATGATAATGAGTGAATTTAAAATTACTTACATGGAGGCCTGAGCAATCGTTTATTCTCCACAGGTATCTCACCCACTGTATCCATTTTCTGAAACAATTTTTTGATTTTTTTCATTGAAAATTCGTAACAAGTTAAGACTTTTAAAAACAGATTGTGATAAAAAAAATTGCAGGATAGATTAAGAGTGACCCGTCTAGACGCTTTTCAAAATTTTATAATCCTCTTGCCAGTTTCAGTCAAATTACATCCAGTTCAGTACCACAAATCGCAATTTCAGTGCAAAAACATCAACTTTTGACGAAGGTTTTCTCTATTTTTAAGATGTTTCAAAGCATTAAATGTGTTGCATTATATTGAAAGTTGAATGAAATGTAATATTTGATGTGAGACATTTTCTCAATTTTTTAAATGAAAATTAAAAAAAAAAGACAGGAAAAAATGTTTTTGGAGAAAATGTCAGAAATATGAAATTTGATTCAACGTTAAGTACAAAACAGCAAATTTATCGTTTCAAAACGTCTCAGAAGATGAGAAAATCTCTTTTGAAAAACCATTTTTGCACTAAAAATGCAATGTTGGTACTGGAACTGATATACCTAGGTTAAAACGGGCAAATGGAATTTTCAGAAGTGTCTAAATAGATTATTATTAACTTATCATAAAATTTTTATGATACACGGTGTTCAGGTACCATTATTAAACACACCTCATCGTGGTAATCAACAGAATACTCGTCTTTTGGACTTGCCGAGGATTCTTCTTTCAAATCTTCTCGATTTCCTGAAAATTATTTACCAAAATTCGTAATTCGCCTTTAAAGGAACTTGCCTTCATCATAAATATCAATATGCTCAAAATTTTTGTTATCCTTGAGCGTTTTCAACTTGGGAGCTTTTTTGATTGCACTATGGCTGAACACGGAGAACCGTCTGAAAATTGAGCCATAAATGTTTTACCCTTGGATTTTTCTCACTTGTCCAAATTTATGCTTTTCACCTCCATACTATTATTCGACAACAGATATTTTTCCATGGTCTCCCGATCACAAATTGCATATCTTCGTTTATTTCGATGATCCGAAAATTCGAATCGAAACTTTTCCTCATAGAAACTATCATCAGGTTCCGGTGGCTCATCAGAGCACACTGAATTCGTCACCAGCTTGAACAGAAACACAAACATCTCCATCAAAGTCACACAACTGCAACCCATGAACAGTGAGCTGGCGCCTCCAAGGAAACCTGTGCACAAAATAAGAAATGACGTTGGACAGTAATTTGATTGCTTACATAAAATATCGACAAGCGTTTTTTGTCGCGTTTCTTCCATATAGGTCACCACCGGAAACACGGAAAATGTGATCGCAACAGACTCGGAATTATGAAATAACTTTGAGTTACTAACTTTGTACTGAGATTCCAGACAAGCAGGTTGGCATGGAAAATCTGAAATTTTATGAAATTTTAATTCCGCGAAAAATCCAGACTAACCGTATTGCAAATACTCTACTTTTCCCGTCAACTCATATCGTAGCCGCTCACAAAGTTTTAGAGAATAATGGTAGTCTGGTTTCGAATCTTCCGGAATCCAAGGAATCTCGTGCCAATTCGACACACATTGGGCTCTATCCAAATTCAGTCGTTGAATCTGGAAAATTTCAAGGATTAGGCATGAAAATGTTTCTGAAAGAATGGTTGATTAGGCAACAGACGATTGAAATACTTGCCCACTTGAAAAACTTTCAACTGGATCATATGATGTGTGTGAGGCTTTGAAACCAGATGATGCACGTCTTCTTCAGTTCCATGCTTGAAGTATAGGCCTTTAAAAATGTTAAATAGTAAAGAATGCTGCTGAAAATTCGATAAAGTGCTAAAATTAATGTATTTCAATTTTTAGGGTTCTGCGTTTTGGGATTTTTATGAATTTGGAAATCTGAAGTAAAAATTACAAACTCATCTCGACTCTTGACATACAGGACCAGACAAAAATATATAAAATAATATATTTTTCCTTTTATTGTTGGCCACTTTTTCTGGAGTCTGGAGCTGAGCTGTCAAGTTTCCGATCACTTTCGATCACGAATTTCTACTCTTTTCACTTTTTTGCTATAACTGAGATGGGAACATTTGTGGAACTGTTATGTACTAGCAGTTGTCTTTCATAAATCGGCAAATAGCTGAAAAACTAGAAATTTTCAAACAATTCTATAAGTGCAAAATGTTTTATTCACATCTGTTTTACACCGACAAAATATTGAGAGTGATCGGAAAATCAATAGACGAGCTCCAGACTCCTGAAAATGATCAAAATCAATTTAAAAAAAAGGCCGAAAAAATCCTAAATTTGGCCTAACAAAATTTGGCCTGACAAATATGATTCAATTAAAAATAGTCTTTCAACACTTTGTTGAAAGTTTCTAACCTTTCTTTTTCAACCGAATTTTAGTTTTTGTTGAGAATCGTATAGATACACAATGCGCATCAATCTCCTTGCATTTCATTTGCTCTTTTTCCCTTGCAATCTCGTAGCACTTCATTCTAAAATACACGAATTTTCATTGAAATTCAAATTCCACTAACTTTTCCTCGGAACAAAGTTCAATCATCGTATCAAATTGCACATTTTTCGTTTCGTTGATTCTCAAAAAACTGGGTTGCGTTGAATAGGACTTGATCATTGCTCCGCACTGCAATAAAAAAAAATCAATATTTTTCTACTTTTTACCGGAGCTATTATTAGCTTTCACGTGATAAGCGCCTTAAAATAGTCATAAATCGGATTGTTCTACTCTACTCACCACCATTATGTAGAAAACTAGGCATGTCGTCACGACAAGACACCAAAAAATTAATGACGGACAATTGCGTGAGTTGAAAACGCGTATCTGTAAAAAGACAAAGAATTTTGTGACTGCAACGGGAATAAAAAACCAATGAAACTAAAAAAGAAGTGTTAAAAGGGTCTAGTGATCTCACCATGCCATGGAAAGTTGTTAAACTTGTATACTCATCACACCCGTCGTGACCCGCTCGGAAATATGTGTTAGTTAGGTACTCGTAAGATTCTTCATCGAGATCTATGATATCATTTTCTTCATCTTCAATATCCGCAAACCCACTGGCACCATCGCTATCTAAAAGCTCAGGTTAGAATTCTTGAAAATAATTTTAACCCAAAAAAAAAACTCACAACCAGGTGCTCGATCAAGACTCTGAAATCGGGAGTCACTGCCACCAAACGAGACACTCGTCATTAGCTCAATGATAACAGCCAATTTTTTATCAGCTAGGACATCATATTTCCAACGGGTGTTTATCAATTACTCCCTTCTTAATGGAGTGAGCGAAAGTGAGAGAAGAAGACTATTCAGTTTATTGACCGAAAGAAAAAAAATGAAAAAAAAATGAAAAGAATTAATTTTGGGAGAAGAAACATAAAAGGAAAATTTCAAGAATTTTTAGTCTAGTTCAAGCAATCGCGAGACTCTCCTGGAAGCACGGCGTTGATGTTGAGGATTCCGATATCAAAGGTCTTGGCTGGGTTGGCTCCCTCGGTAATGAAATCGTCTGGGATCACAATTTCCACCTTTCTCCAGCACTCCTGAAATTAAACATTCAAGGTTTGAACATCTTTGGAGGTACTGAAAAAGTTCTATGTTGCTTAAAAATGATTCAAAAATTTCTAACAAAACTCTCAACAAAAATCTGAAACTCAAAATTAGAAAATAAACTTCAAACCTTGAAAAAAGTCTTATCAAAAATCTAAAAATCTACTCACAATAGCCTCGTCGTGGCAGTTGTGATAGATGTTGAGTTTTGGATCAATCTTGGTCCATTCGGTGTCATTTCCAGAAAGTTCGAATTCTCCTTCGGCGTTGGTCAGACCTTCGGCCATCAATGTGTCCTTGACTGAAAAACACACACAATTTAATTGAAAGGTTCATTGAAACAATTAATTGAAAAGTGAAAATTCGTTTTATTGAAAACTAAACTAATTACTGTAAACACTAGTAGAGGGCTATCCGGACAGTTAACTTTGAGCTCATATATCTCGGATACTGTGGAAGATATCAAAACATTTTCAACTAGTAAATTTTTTATCTTAATAATACAAACATTTTATCAATTGACTACTTTTTGATATCTATCACAGGAATCGAGATAAATCGGCTCAGAGATAAGTCGTCATTTTATCAGGATGTTTGTTTTTGTAATTTTGTTAGTTAATTGTACCTGTGTAAAAATTCGGTTTACCGAATTGCGGCGACTCCCACAATTTTCGGGAAATCAATTTTTGAAGTAACAAAATTGTCAAAAATTGATAAAACCCAAAAAGAAATGAACGGAAAATGAAGATACTGTATTATTGTAGAAGCAGACCAAAATCGTTTTCTTCGAGCTCAATTTTTTACGATTTCTGTAAGAGATATCAGAAATTTGTCAACATTCAAATTGTTTATCATAATAATACAAATATTTTATCAGTAGACAAATTTTTAATATCTTTCATAGGAATCGAGATAATTGAGTTCAGGTTTGGCTACTAGTGTTTACAGTAATTAGTTTGGTGTCATTTTCATAGTTTTCACTCACTGGGATCAATCTCGTAGAGCTTCAGACGAGCCTTCTCGTATCCCTTGCCATCACACAAAAGCTTTCCTTTCACAGATGTCGACTGAACCTTACGGAGTTGTGGGAGCGATGGAAGGATATCAGGAAGTGGTACGGCTAGGCAGATAATGGGCAGGAGAGCAACCAAAATGTACTTCATTCTGAACAAGAGACTTTGAGTTTGAGGGATACGTAAAGTTTATATACGAGCCTTTGACTAACGAGTGATTTCGAAAGCTTCCGGTATGATTAATCGGATAGAATCAAAAACAAAAAAACCATGAAAATGAAGAAAACTAACTTCACGGGTAGACAACTCAACCCAAAGTGTCGAAATGAGAAAAAACGACAAAAACTGATGATATTACACCATAAAAGAAAGACAAAGCGACCTCTAGCCCCCCGTCAACCGTTTCATGGTCACTTTTCAACAAGCGCTTTTTTTTTGTAGGTCAGATCGAGAAATCAACTTTTTGTCTTTGTATGGTAAGTTGGAAAATATTCGTTAAACACAAAAGTCAAAAATGGAAAGTATATCTGGATTTCAAAGAGTGAATGCGTTTATTCAGGCAAGAGTAAAACGGGAATGGATGGTGATCGAAAATTGTCAACTTTTTTGAACGCTCTGTCGCAGAATCGATTTCAAATTAGTGGTTGGGGCAATTGACATGGTCACGTCTTCCTTTGCAATGAGAGCGATTACTTTTCGTTCGGCACCTGGAATTTTAGAGTTTTGAAGTTCTCTAGAAAATTCTGTTGAATTTCTGATTCAGAGTATAAGAATTTCCATTAGAAAATCCTTGAAAATATGTCTTAAAGCTTTAAAATTGAGTACTTTGATTTGAGTAATATAGAAATTTATAAAAATTCATCAAATTAAATTACTTCTAGTTTCCGTATTTTTTTCTGAAAAGCAAGCCCTAGCGGGTCTCTTGAGCTCAATTATCTTGGTTCCTTCGAGAGATATCAAAAATATATCGCTCACTGGAACCTAGATAATTGAGTTCAAAGTAGGCGTATAGGGCGGCAGGGATGTTTGGAACCAGATAGGAATTCAGTAAATGCAGATCGGACTTTTTTCAAATTTTTTTTTGGAATCTGAGTTTTTTGGACTACGGTATGTCGAAGACCGCAGGCAAAACTTTTGTTTACAGGTGTCGAGCAGAAATACTTTTGATATGGTTTCCGTTTTCGAAATTGTTTTGTCCATTTTTTACTAATTTTTGGCATTTTTGTGATGAAGTAACTGGATTTCTTTGTACTTTAAAATTTGAAGATTCCGAAATTTTTAAATTCTGAGAATCGGAACCTTCTAAAATTTTGAATTTTTACGTTTTAAAAAATCAGAGTATTCCACACATACGAAATTGAAAAAAGGATACCGTAAAACCTCTAATAGAACGACACCCGGATCGTCCACTTTGAGCCTATATATCTCACTTCTTTTGAAAGATATCAAAAAGTGGTTAACTAGTAAAATGTTTATCAGGATATCAGCAACATTTAACTAGTTAGCCACTTTTTGATATCTTTCAAATGAAGTGAGATATATAGGCTCAAAGTGGACGATCCGAGTGTCGTTCTATTAGAGGTTTTACGGTAATTCGATATTCCGAAACATTTCAAAAAGGCCATTTCGAACATCCCTGCTTATGTGTGCATGTTGAGCTTAATTATCTTGGTTCCTATGAGAAATATCGCAATTCTGTCAGCTGATAGAAGATTGGTGATATTATGATAAATAAATTATCAGTTAACAACTTTCTTATGTCTTTAACAGGAACCGAGAAAAAATGGCTTAAAATTAGAAATTAGGGGCCGTTTTAGTACAGGTTTTGCGGTACGTTAATCCGTAATTTTTGAATACGTTCCAGGTTTTAATCAATCGGTCGTCTTCAGTTCCTTATTATCAATATTTTCCTAGCCAACAGTAAGACCTTTTTAACAAGCCGAACGATAGGTGAAAAACGCAACACCTTCTCCCTTCCCACTTCTCCCCACCCTCTTACCCAAATCACACTCAAACGCATCTCTCGCACTGCTTGCACACGTCGTCTTGTAGATCACCACAATCTTATCTGTTTTTGGCGGACCTGGATCACGAACAATCTGTAAAAAATGAGAACATTCCATTCGTGAAGCTTGATAATTTTGTATCGGTCCCCCAAAAAGTTCAACAACTAAGTACGTCACTACTCGTCAAAGAACGACTGAACATAATTTTTTCCTCAAAAAAATTGTACGATGTTCACTTTTTTCGGGTTCATTTTTTTTGTTAAAGGTGGGGAGTCATGAAAAAATAATGTTCTCGAAATTCTGTTTAAATACGCCCCTCGAGGAGTTGAACTTGCCGAGGCGAGTATTGAAGGTGCGGCGCCGCTACCGACTGAGCCATGCGGGCGAAACTGGAGCGGGCGCCTGATTGCATACATAAAGGCGAGGACGACCGCTGTACGCAGAGTGACATTAAGCGTTGTACACCGTTACGGTAGAATGCATACTGTGGCCCCAAAAATCCCCCGTAAAATCTCCTGTCCCCCCACCTTTAAACATCGCAACGGTTCACGGATTTTTTTTTGTCTGTTCGTTAGTTCAAATTGCCCTCTCGACCACACCCTGCATTCCAAAGAGTAGACTAGTTCTGAAGATAATTGGAAATGAATTTCCAAAAAAAAAGTTTTTCATGATTCATAATTTTCTACCTGTAATCGTTGCGCATTTCCCGGTTCGAGAAGAGTGTAGACTGGTGAAACGCGGAACAACTCGTTATCGCTGCACTTGATTTTCACGGCGATTCTAAAATGTACTTTTTTTTATTGAAATGTACTAATTGTGGAAGTGAATCACCTGTGACTACTTCCGTTGACCATCATGTGTCTTGATGCGCCTCCCATTGCAGTTGGAAAATAGGCAATCTGAAATGAGAAAAATTGCTCGGAATTTTTTTTCTGGAGGTGCTGGTACCTTTGGTGTGATGAACAAATTATGATCGTCAAAGTCATAAAGCATATCAGCCAGTTTTAAAGAGCTGGACGACTTCTTGCAGTCTGAAAATAAAAAATATTTTTGAATTTCTCCCATTAAATTGGAGGATGGCATGAGATAACTCATAATATTATTACGATGAGCCGCCAGATGGTTCCACGATATTGGAAAAAAAATTATTTTTTTTCTGAGGGATGCTGTCAACAAGAAGAAAAGAAGAAAATTGGGCTTCTGGAGCTGAATGGAAATAACAAGGGAAAGAGATAACCTATACGAGCCAACCAAGCCAAATGAGATTCTAGATGGACGATTTCCGGCGAGGACTCCGGAAGTCTGACTTCTTCATAACTCTTCCGGGGGCACAAAAGATTCATCTGTTTCAAAACTTGACATCTTGTCGCACGATGTTTTTGAGTTTTAAGTTTCTTGGGTTTTTTAAAGACAAACGCGTCGGAAAAAAGAAGAAAACACATAACACGACAGCGAGAGGAAGAAAAAACAACAAAATCTTGAAAATGGGCCCCATGCAACGCCGCGGCGTCTCTAAATAAAGAATATTAAATGGTGCCGAATATTATTCCCTTAGGGATGGGTGGTGTGGGGTGGAAAAGTTGACAAATTCCAACAGAAAATGTCTCCAAATGGTCGTGACGCTTTTACCCGATTCTTTTCATTGAGAGTGGAAAAACAGAGTCCGTCAGTTTCTCTCTATCTTTTTTTGTTGGGGCATTCGGATGATGCATATGAGAGAGAAAGAGAGAGGAAGATGCTGAGGACACAGTAGGACACAAAACAATAGAGCTGACAAAAACACACGTTTCGTAGAAGAAGATAAAGCAGGGAGAGGGTGGAATTCTTGGGAAGGGGTTCCTGAATTTTTAATTCTGGCTCTTTCCAAAGAATCCAAATTCGAAGGTGGTGTGGTCGTTGCAAAAAACAATATTTGGGAAAGCAGGGACGAAAAGGTCAGACTAATTAGATAAAGTGTCACATTGCATCACAAACACACAAGACAATCAAATTTGATTTTTTTTTCATTGATATTAGATGTTTTCTTCCTTTTTTGTTTCTATAGGTAAATTTGATTATTTTTTATGTTCTATGCGTCATCGTTGCTCCAAGGACTTTCATAATTTTTTGAACAGAACTGCAAACATGAACATCAACGTAGACTGCATACAGTACCAGTCAATAAAACGAAAAATGTGTTTTTTGGTTAATTGTTGACCATATTACCATTTTTAGGAGTCTCGAGCATGGCTGTCAAGTTTCCAATTTCTATGAAAATCTTGGAAGGTGTAAAACAGACATAAATTGAATATTTTGTATCTTTAAAAATTTAGAATTTTAAAAAATTTCCTAGTTTTCCTGTTATTTGCCAATTTCTGAAGAATAGTTAGTTTTTGTACTGCAAACGTGAAAAAAAGCAGCATTTTTCAAAAATTCGTTAATACCGTAAGACCTTCCAGGGGATCTCCAGGGGACCCTTCTATTACAGGGGCACTCCAATAAGAGAACCTTTTCGTTTTGCATTTATGAAAATCTGTCAATTTCACCACAGTTAAGGAAGTGTTTTAAAAAAAAGTGTTTCAGCGAATTTTCATTTTGAAATTCCCGGAATATTTCTTACTAATTTCCTACTATTTTATTTCAATTTTTTGAAATTCGTCAATTTCAAAACACATTTTGAAGGGGGCCCTTCTATTAGAGGGGCCCTACTATTTTTCAAGCCCCTCTCAAAGGTCCCTTCTATTGGAGGGGTCGTTCTGTTGAAGGGGCCTTTTTAATACGGGTTTTACGGTAGCTGAACATTCCAGGGATTCCAAAAAATATATGAAAGCAAAATTTTCGATCTAGGTATGTTTCATGCCCTCCATAATTTTCAGAGTGATCGGAAACCTGAGAGTCGAGCTCTAAACTCTTGAAAATAGTCAAACCAATTTATTGGCCGCTACTGTAACTGCAAACATCAACATCACCTCTGCCTACTGTAGATAGGTTTTGATCGGCAGAACTTTTTTCTGTTTCTCCCCCTCCTTTGCCCTATCGCCTCTCTCCACCCATTCAAAGGAGAAACCATCATCCATAAATCATATCGACTGTCGGGTTGCCTCCAGATCATGCGATATCTGTGTGTGTCCAACGTAACCCTTGGTTGCATTGGATACCAACTGTCCAGGCATTTTTCTTCACCGTAAAAACCGTCTCTTTATCTCTCAGAATTTACAATTATTCTCCATTTATTCACTTTCCGTTTCACCCGAGGATGTGGTATAAAAGGGACGAGGAGGGGTTCCACCATATCATCATTACTTGGTGGGGTCTCTTCTCAATTACCTTAACTACTGAAAAAAAAATCAACAAATTGATATGAGAGAAATTGTCTCTTTTCAATTGTCGGTCGTTTGTGTGTGTTTCTCCCAAACCTTCCATTCTCTTTTTTATCGAATTTCGATTTTTTTTTCTTTCTAAAAAAGAATGTCACCTATACATAACTAGGTTTTCGTTTAACCAATTCCAAAATGTAAACTTTCCCATATAGATCAAATGATAAAACCAATGATTGATTGATACTGTTTTCTTTATTTTTCGTGACTGACCAGCATATTTTATCAATTGAGAAAGATCAGAAGTGTGATCAATCATCTTTTTTTACCCGACAGCAAAAATTCCTCATTCTTTTTTGTTTCCGTTTTTCCTACTTATTCTTGTTCGTCGGTTCATGTCTTGCACTTTGCCCCTTTCTCATAAATTTTAAATTAATTCATGGGTTATAACTCTTCAGCTATGGGTACCATGATAGCCATCAATGATGGACCACCGCTGCCTTTTCTGCGGCGACAATCAAAGATGTATAATTTTCGACGGATGTTTGAGGTATCGTAATTTAAATACTACTCTAAATTAGATTGTTATATCAGTTCCAGTCAATAAGATTCAGAAAAACGAATTTTTCAGTCTATTTTCGGTCATTTTTATCATTTTCAGGAATTTTTAGCTCCTCTTTCAAATTTCATACTAATTTGAAAATTCAGAAAGGTGTAAAATAGACTCAGACTGAAATTTTTGTGTTTACAGAATTTTTCGAAAAATTCTACTGTTTCATCTATATGCCGATATTTGAAAATTACTTATTTTTTCACGTTTTCAGTACAAAACAAGCTAGAAATGGGGGTCTTTCACAAATTGGTGAATAACTTAAAAACTAGGGAATTTCAATAAATTGTGTATATGCCAAATTTCCAATCTAGGTTTGTTTTACACCCTCTCAAAATTTCAAAGTGGTCGGAGTTTTGACAGCAGAGTTCCAAGCTCCCACAAATGGTTAAATTGGCCGAAAATTGACTGAAAACCTTTATTTCAAATATTTTATTGACCGGCACTGTTTGTAGATTGATTTTACCATCTAAAAATTGATTTTCAGAGCATAATCAGTTCTCCACCAGAGACCGAGTTCATCTATCATGACGAGGAGCCACCACAAGAAGCTGCTGCTCCGAATCGAAGGAATACTAGATCAGGAGTTTTCGGAGAGTTATAAATGTACCTCATTCTATTTTTTTTCTGTATTTTCGCTTTTCATATTCTAGGGAAGTATCAGGAGAACGCGAAAAATATTTGGTATTGGAGATGCTCCTGATATCGAAACCCCGCCTCAAAATGCACGTGACTATCATATTCAGCGATTTAATCGCAACGAATCTTTCCGGCTGGTCAGTATATTTTATTTTTTTCTCATGTTCAGATTTCAAAATTTTCTATATTTCAGTGCCGTATAAACACTAAAACTTATCAAATTCTAAAACTCCCATCAGAAGATAAAATCTTCACAACTATAAAACAAATTATCCCATCTGGTACCTGCCCATTAATTAAGTGAGTCATTTTTCCATAAAAATATAATTTCCAATGTTCGAATATTCAGACTTTTCCCAAGAGAGGAAAAACCGAAAGACAAAGCGTCTAAAAGAGGGAAGTTGTCCAGTTTTGAAAGAAAAAGAAGGTAAATACTCTGAAATTATCATATTTTTCATAAATTCAAATTTTCAGATACCACCAAACGTTTGGAGTAGACCATCATGCCAAAGAGCAGCTATTCTGTCCTCTCCAAGCATCTCAAGTTGAGCTTGCGTTTAAGACTCAAATCAAAGCCGACATCGTGATTAAGATTCAGGCGCCAAACGGAGAATGTAGTGGATATATTTATCCGAATAATTTAGACTTTACTAGTTTTACACCAACGAATGTGAGTTTTTATTGAAATATGTGGTTGAAAAATAAATTTTAAAAATTTTTAAATTGAATGAACAAATTGCAATTTGAGCTGAATTTTCTCAATTTTTATGAGAGATAACAAAAATCTGTCAACTGATAAAATCTTTAGCATAATATCACCAATATTTTATCAGTTGACAAAATTTTGATAACTTTCACGGTAATTGAGATAATTGAACTGAACGTGGACGGTTTGGGTTAGATTCTATTATTACAGCAAAGACGGTAGTAGGAAAGGACAAAAATTTAATTTTGAATATTCTGGATATTCAAAGAATTGAAAACAGGAAAATATTATTACTAAATATCGTCAAACACACCTGAAAGTTCTGAAATATCTCAAAAATGATAAGATAATACAAAAAAAATTATGAAATATTCTGAAAACATAATTTTTTGAAAATAGTTATCAGTTAAATCAATCAATCAGTTATCAGCCAATTTTTCAAAAAATCTCAAAAAAATCAATTTATATTTCTTAAGATTGGATGTGGTCACGGAAAATGGCTAATTCATGTCGCCGTACGACGAGGATGCAAATTTCATCACGGCCAAACACGTCAACTAAATCTTGTTGGACAAGGTAACTTTTTTTACAAATGCCTGGAAACTTTCCAAAACTTTCAGGAATTCTATTCTTTGAAGTAAATATGGTCGGTGATGTAAAAGATTGCGGGAGGCTGTGGCTGGATTGTCTCAACTAAACTTGAACATTTTTCCCAATGCTTGTAGGCTTTATTGTATCTCAAATTTCTAATTTTTTGCTTAGTATTTTCAAGTAGTGACTTCTTTGCTTTAAATGAAAAATGAAGTGATTTGCCGGCGACCATTCTCCAATTCGTTATTGTTTTTCACCTCCTTCACACTGTGACTGTTGGTGTTCTCCGTTCGTCGGAGAATCCTTGTGCGCGCGTGATATATGATACCGGTCCGCCGAGAAAGTTGTATGGTTGTACCACTGAGCGGTACCTTCCTGACTTACTAGTATTATATTCTTAACAAATAATTTTTCAATGAAGAATAGATCATATGCTGTTGGTCACCTGTGCAATTATCGTTTTTCAAAGACGAATGGGTCTCTGATGACTCATTCAAATCAACTAACAACCAACGCAAGAAAAGTGCGCGAAACCGTTAGATTGGAAATTAAATTAATTTCGGATTCTAAACATGTCGCCTACGATTATCTCCTCTTCTATCAACTGCTGTGTTTTCCGCCAATGACTGTTTGCTTCCTTCTTCCCCGCTGTTTTCAGCGTTATATGTCCATTTTGTCTTTTTCTCTTCTTCTTCTCCCTTTTCCTTTTTCTTTCTGATTTTCTCCCAACTGATTTTCTCCAACTTTCTGATTGTGGCTAGATTCCAATGTATCTAGATGGACACATACCAAATCTCTCCCCCAGGTAGGGAAGGATATGGAGGAAGGGAAGGAAAAAAAACGAGAGATGCCCCCTGACGGTCACCCTCACGCTCATGATTACGTCTTTCTTTTCCCTTGCGTTTCTTTTATCAGTCGGTGTTTTATGGTATTTTCTAAGAAGAAGTAAACTGGTTTGACAATTTTCAAATTGGAGTTTACTCCTAACCACCTTGGGTAACCTCCTTGAGTAAATGATGTGACAGTTTAGGATTTATTGCCTTGACAATCATCCTGAGATAGCAATCTTTCAGGAGAACCCAGATCACACCCTGAATTTAGAATGCACTTTGCCGTCTACACCAGCACCGCCTTCTGCTAACGTTGCCAATTTTTGTTTTTCGTTTTTTTCGAAAATTGGATATCTCTCTCCACTCTATTTATCAGAAGGAATGCGTTTATTATCTCATCATCTCAAATATATAAATTTTCTCGGCCAATTAGAAATGATCTATTTCCTACTATCGCGAAAAAAAGAGAGATGATGAACCCGTTCTGTTCCAGCAGCATGCCTGTCGCAGACTATGATTTATAACACTTCCCAAACGTTAACACTTTTCTTCGCTATTTTTCTAAGAGCTTCAGAACTATTTTTGAGTTTACTACAAAAACCCTATTATCGAATAATAAAAATTCCCTGACTTTCCGGAAACAATGAACCCTCCCAACATGTGCACCACATCCGGAACTCGGGTCTGCCAGATGTGCAAAATTCAAAAATTTGTTGTTTCAATATCGAGTCCACCTCCAACATCTGGACGCTCATCTTTCGCCAAACTCCTCAATTTGAGGCTCGTTCCGTTTTCTCTTTTACTGCTCCGCTTCGTTTTTTTGCTCTCCTATCCGAACGACATATGCGCCAATTGACTCTCTAATTATAATTGGCGTCCTTTTTCTTTTCTATTTTTTCTTATTATGAGTGCTTTTGAACTTGTCTTCGGCGCCGCGCGGACGAATTTGTTTCATATGGTGGGGTTTGGAGCCCCTGTAATTTATAACCTGGCTTGCCGTACAGCACACGAACCAGCACCCATAAATCTCTGTTCCAATCCCTTTGTATACCTCTTCTACCATGTAAATTTTGTCTTTTTTCTCTTCCTTTTGGAATCTTTGTTCTTTTTTACTCCACACACTTTTTAAAGCACGGTTTCAGAACCTCGAATGCTACTCTGAACATGAAATTGCTCTATTCCATACTGATAAGCCTGATAGCAATAACCCATTGCTCACTGCATGGGTTGACCAGTCATTATCGAGGTAATTTTTTTTTAAGTGGACTTTATCCTTTATATCACCTTTCTCAGAAAACATCCCACGGTTCAAACATGTCGCAAATGAGAGAAACGAGGTTTATCTCGGCGATGAGGTGAGAGTTTTTCGCCTTTCATGTTATATCGGCGTTTTTGTCGGCTGATTGAAACAAAAAACATTTCACAGGTCAAACTTGATTGCCAAATTGCCGCATCAAAGATACCAGCGAAGGTTGAGTGGTATCGGAACGATAAATTGATGAAGGAGGAAAAGTTGAATGTGCAGAGAATTCGGAAGGAACACAATCGCATGTTGCTCACGATAAGGCTTATTGATGTATCGGACCAGGTGAATTTGTATAGCATTGGAGCAGAGTAGGAAACAAGTGTTTGAAAACCATTGTCCTTTCAGGACATAGAAAACTGTTTGAAAAACTTTCATTATGCAGATACCGTTCACTAAAATATAAAAAAAGATTCTCACTTGATTTTCGGCATTTTTTATCTTTTTTTCGGAATCTGGAGCACTGTATTCAGTTTACGATCAGTTTTAGAATTTTGAAGGATTTAATACACAACTGGACTGTGAAATTTGCATTCAAATAATTTTTTGAAAATTGTTAGTTTTCAGCTATTTCCCGATTTCTGAGAAGACGCACGTTTTTTTCCATATTTTCAGTACAAAAACGAACCAAAAAGACGTGTCTTTCAGAAGTGTGCGGATAACTTGAAAACCAGAAATTTTCAAAAAATTCTGTAAATGCAAAGTTATCAATCTAGGTATTCATCTTTCAAAACTTACGAAGTGATCGGAAACTTGACAGGCGAGTTCCAATGGCCAAAAGTTGATTGAGGAATATGTTTGGGTATATCTTATTGGCCGGTAATGTATTTCTTCTCTATAGTTTCAGAAATCCGAGTTTAGAAATTTTAAACAATTCCGATCAACTTATTTTTTTTTCAATATTGATTCGAAATTATCAAGAATATGCTCAAATTTCAAAATTAACTTTCGAAAAATTAAAATGTCTGAAAAATCTGTCAAAAATGTTTTATTCGAAACCTGCAAGAGCTGGAATTTGATCAATTCTTTTAGAAATCTACCTTTTTCATTTAACAAAAACCCTATTTCAAACACCATCTTTGAGCTTAATCATATTGATTCCTGTGAAAGATATAAAAACTTTGTCAACTGATAAGTCATGTATCATAATACTGCCGATATATTATCAAATTATTATTCTACAGTAATCCTATCATTGCTAACTCCTAAACTTCCAGGGTCTGTGGTCTTGCCGAGTGCACAATGCTTATGGTCAGATCACCAGAAACTTCACTGTTGAAGTCATCGGTAAGCTTTTTTTTCTTGAATTTCTTGTTATGGTTTTGCGGTTTTTGCTCGATTCCCTTCTGCATGGCGTGGTTTTCAGATTTTTGTGATTATTTCCTTATTCCCGAAATCCCACACAATCGAATCCCCATGGAATGTGTTTGCTTGTGGCGCTACAATAAGGAGCCAAAACGTCCGGACATTGATTTCCGAGCAGCAACAGCAGAGAACTGTCAGAAGTATGCGGATCGAATGATTAATCGTGCACGTCGACCTTTCGCAAAAATGCCATGTTTGGGAGATCATTGTGAAGATTTCAATTTAGCGCCGGTTCTTGATTTTGAGTTGGAGAATACCACTGTGAAGCATGTTGTGTTAAAGCCAGACAGACGAAGCAAGACAATGCCATCATCGCAAGAAGCGTCCGAAGAATCTTCTGAAAATTTAAGTAAGCATCCTTTTTCTTTCAGATCCATTGAAACTGTTCGATTGGCTCACTGAGCATCGCGTCTATGACGTGAGCCACTTGCTGCCAAAACTTCTGCCGCCTGCGGAAATGCGTAGAGTGAAGAGCCAGTTGGTCGGATGGGAGAAGATGAATAATGTGCAGAAAATTGCTAGAGCAAGGCAGATTTTGAGATTAAGACAGCTAAATCAAAAGAAGACGAAGGGTAGGAAAGCGAAGGGGTTTTTAAAAAAAAATTATTTTTGATCTACCAATTGTTGATCTATCCACCACTAATTTTTTCAGAGACAATTTTTATCGATGCACAAAAAGAAGAAGAGGAAGAAGAAGAAGACGAATACCACGTCAGCCAACCAGTGTCTCCTGATGCAGAGCTCAAAGAGCTCAATGTCACTGTCGATGAGCCACCATATTTTGACTCGCACGACAATGTTGTTTTGTTCAATGAGACACAGGCCCTTCCGTCTGGACGAACTCTGAAACTCAATTGCAGAGCTAAAGGACATCCTGAACCAGAGGTAAGGAAAATAATTTTTGAAAACAGTGGAAAATTACAGTAAGAATTCAGATCTTTTGGTTCAAAAATGGTGTTCAAATTGACAAAACCAGCGCCAGAGCCGGCGGTTATGAATACAAGTTCAAACGATGGTCTATGGAAGTGGAAGATGCGATGGTCGCAGATTCTGGAGATTATCATTGTGAAGCGCATAATTTTGTGGGGATGACAAGGAAATTTTTCCATGTGTTGATTGTGAATCGGATGAGACGTCCGCCGATCATTGTTCCAAATATTTTAGAAAATGCGCATGTGAGTCGGAACAATTTTTTCTTTCAAAATTTTTTTCTTTGTAATACCTAAATTCGGAACTTTGCATTTACAGATTATTTCCAAAAATTCTAGATTTTCTGTTATTTTTCGATTTCTGAAAGGCACCCTTTTTGGTCCCATTTTTGTGAATTTCCTGCGTCCGTTCTCGAAGATTTTGAAGGCCTGCTCCAATAAAAACCCATTTTCAGGTCAACGTCAATGACACCGCCACATTCAACTGCAAGGTTGTCTCCGACCTCCATCCCCATATCATGTGGGTCCGTGTAAACAAAATCAACGGATCCTTCAGCTACTACAACAATTCCGCAGAAGAATTCCTCTTCAATTACACCGAGATGGAAACTGTAGAAGTGAATTTATACCCTTGAACTGTATAATTATGACATTTTCCAGAAAGCACATGTTCATCATATTGGCGATGAATCAACTTTGACTATTACAAACGTTTCTATCGAGGACCAAGGAACGTATGCGTGCTTGAGTGGAAATTCGTTGGGAATGGTACTGAAATTATTTAATTGTTTTATCACGTGACCAAATTTCAGAGTATGGCAAACGCGACGTTGACTGTAAATGAATTCAAAGCAATTCACTTGTTAACTGGAGACGAACCGAGAGTCAGCAGATGGACAGCGTTAGATATCATCTTTATCACATTGCTATCACTACTGGCAGTTTGTGCGGCGTCGTTTGTGTTTCTTCTACTGTTTTGCAAGGAGACTCTTCAAGAAAAGGGATTTTTTGAAGACACTGTTGGTCTAGTGGCAAGGAAAAAACGAGTGGTGATTAGCAAACGAACAGAGGGAGATGAGAATGGTGGTCCCACACAATACTCGATTCAAATTATTGAGACACCAATGACAAAAAAAGAAGCAGCAAAACGGAAAAAGAGGTCGAACTCGGAAAGTGCACTTCTTTCGGATTATGAAGTTGATTGTGATCCAACGTTCGAAATAGAGAGATCCAAGTGAGCATAATAATGTTTCAAAATGTAAAAACTACAATTACATTTTTCCAGCTTAACCCTGGACAGTATGCTTGGAGAAGGCGCGTTCGGAGAAGTTTGGAAAGCAAAGCTGAAGCGTGATGGCACTGTAAGGATATTTTGACCTTGTCCGTGAGAAATAGTCATCTTTCAAGTTCTGGAAAAGTAGTCTAAAACTTTATACTTTTTCAATTAGCGTGACACTCTAATGGAAAGCCATTTAAACCGTCAACTTCAAGCCTATATATCCCGGCTTATGTAGAAGATATCAAAACGCGGTCGACTAAAAAATTGTTTATCATAATATCACCAACATTTTATCAGTTGACTAGTTTTTGATATCTTCTGTAGACATCAAGATAATTGAGCTCAAAGTTGAAGATTTGAGTCTGCTTCTATTGAAGGAAATAGGGTATTTTCTACTGGAAAAAGAAGTAAAAATAAGATTTTTTGTCCGGTACTGTAAAAAACCTCTAACCAATTTTTTTCCAGGAACTCGATGTTGCCGTGAAAAAGCTCAAAATCTCGGCACACGAAAAAGAGCTGATTGATTTGGTTAGCGAGATGGAGACGTTCAAAATAATCGGACAACACGAAAACGTTCTCCGACTTATTGGATGCAGTACTGGTCAGGGACCACTGTACGTAGTTGTTGAATTGTGCAAACATGGAAACCTTCGCGACTTTCTGAGAGCACATCGTCCGAAGGAGGACAAAGTGAAAAAGTCGAGCCAGGAGCTGGCAGATTATTTGGAGCCAAGGAAAAATGAAATCGCTGATGTTGTGAGTATATTGTTGCTTCTCTGATGAATATCCCTTCAAATTTTTGAGCAAAACATTGTTAATTTCACATGTCTCGAAAACACTGAGAATTTCAACATTATAATCTTTGGTTTGTATAGGTGCAATGAAAAAAGAGTTCCTAAATATTAAATCAGCTTTCAAAATAAGAAACAGCTGAATTTTGCAACTTTTTTTGCTGATGTTACAACATTTGTTTTTTTTTTCGTTAAACATGAATTAACTTCCTCCCTCACATTCACAAATAAAACTCCCCAAAAAAAGCTTGATCTTCACGGAAAACATAATTTGTTCAGGAGCTCATCCCAAACCTCACACAACGTCATCTTGTGCAATTTGCGTGGCAGTGGCGACCGGCATGAACTTCTTGGCCGAAAAGAAGATTATTCATCGAGATTTGGCGGCGAGAAACGTGCTCGTCAGCGAGGGTCATATCATGAAGATTTCGGATTTTGGACTGTCGAGAGATGTGAACACTGGGAATTATTACAAGTTTGTTGTGTAAGCAAGAAACGAGTAAAGTGAGTGAGAATATTTCAGAAAACGTGGTACCGGAAGATTGCCAATCAAATGGATGGCTGTGGAATCATTAGATTCTAATGTTTACACAATTGAAAGCGATGTGTAAGTAATACATACAATACTAGTCAATTGGATGTGCAATAACGTATTTTCAAAATTGATTTTTATCATTTTAAGGAACCTAAATTTCAGCTGTCCAGTTTTCAATCACTTTGAAAATTTTGGAGGATGTAAAGAATGTCCAGTTTATCTCAGCTTCTTGTTGATCTTTGAAAGAAACTTTTTTGAATAATTTTATCCTAACCCTTTACAGCTGGTCTTACGGAGTTCTCCTATGGGAAATCATGACACTCGGAGGAACTCCGTATCCCACAATCGCGATGCACAATCTTTATGAATACCTTCAAAATGGATACAGAATGGAATCACCCCATCTATGCCCCCAGGAAGTGTATCAACTGATGCAAGCGTGTTGGCAGACCAAGCTTGAAGATCGACCATCGTTTAAAATGATTGTGGACTATCTAGATTGGATGTTAACAATGACCAATGAGACTATTACTGCGTCACAGGAGTTTAATGAGCAATTTTTTTCGGATAGATCGACTGGATCGGGACCAACATCTCCGATGGATATTTTCAAGAAGAATAGAAGACATCGACCATTATCAGCTCCTGTGAACCTTCCATCTGTCATAGTAAATCTTTTTTCTAGCTTTGTTTTGCTTTTTCGTGACCTGCTAAGCACCTTATTTTCAAAATTCCAGCCCATGCACACTATCTGTGACGAATACGACACTGACTTCCCTGTCATCCCAAAACGTCCGGACCTTGGAACCGACAACCCGCTAGCCGACCACATCATCACTCCGGACACCTCTCAACGTATCCCATCCAACAACAATAGTCTCAGCAAACCAGACCTTCTCAAATTTTAGTGCTCATCGCCAACGCGCCAAACGGAAACGGGTATGTTCGCCAAGATAGACTTGTCCGTACCATCAGCGGTGTCGCCAACCAATCACTCGATTCGGCACTCGGTTCTCCAGCGTGGCCGCCTTACCTCGAACGTTCCTCTAACAAAGCTTCTCTAGGTTCGTTTTTCAGTTTCTCTTACCCCCTCTAATTTTCAGTTTTAAAAGAAGACTGAAGTGCCAAATTGAGGACAAACGCTTTTAAAAATATCAGTTTTTAGGTCATGATGCTGATGATGACCAGAGAAATCGATACTATTTTTGAAATATTTGATTTTACTGCTTTTACGTCCAATGTGTGGTAATACTATATTCGTGTTTGTCCTTTGGTCCTTTGTTCTATGTTCGGCATTAAGGGGTAAAACCACATTCACAGATCCGTCAGGTGTCCCTATTAACATGGCACTCAAGCATTTCTACAATTTTTTTTTAATTAAAAAAAAGAAATTTTCAGATCCAACCCACCATTATTATAACACCAACACCTCAAAAGTTCAATACCTCCACTTCACTTTCGACGAAAAAGATTCGATGACCAGGTGCTCTAAAAGTTTACAGTACTTTTTTAAATAAAATTTATTTATTTCAACGAAGGGAAGAAAACCACTAACACTGGTCAATAAGAAAAGCAAAAAACGTATTTTGCAGTTGATTTTTGGCTATTTTGACTATCTTCAGAGGTTCAGAGGTTGACTGTCAATTTTCTGATCATTTTGTAAATTTTCGAGAGTTTAAAACAGATCTAGATCGAAAATTTTGCGTTTGAAGAATTTTTTTATTCCTAGTTCTTCAGTTATTTGTCGATTTCTGAAAAAAACCTTTTTTGTATTGAAAATGTGCATAAACAGATGTCTTTCGGCAGATAGCGGAAAAAATAGGAGTTTTCTGAAAATTCAGTAAATGCGATATTTGCAATCTCTATTTTACATCTTCCAAAGTTTTCAGAGTCGTCGGAAACTTGAGAGCCGAGTTCCAGACTTCTGAAAACGGTCAAAATTAACTAAATTTTTTAGGTTTATCTCATTGACCGGTACTCTATGATAAAAAAGATATGATAATTTTCAACCTCTATTTCATTTCCAGATCTAGAGACTCAGCCATATTTGAGGATGCATACCACCTTATCCAATCGCACCCGCTCTATTCAAAAATCACATTTAAAAAGAACACGTAAGTATTTTTGACTCTCGGAATTTTCGAAACTTGGAGCAAATGTCTCTTGTTCCAGGACGCCTCGCAACTCTTTGCCGACAAAAGAAACCATTGTCTAAACTTTTCAACATTTTCTCTCTCCGAATTTTTTTTGTTTTTCTTTTTTCTTCGTGTCCTTTTTGTTTCTTGCTACTTAGTCGTTCTGACCAGATTTTGTGCTTTACTTTCGTCTTCTTTCCTTTCACCCCTCGCCCTTCCCGTCTCAGTTATTATTATCGCTTTCCACTCATTTTTTTTCTTCTCGTTCGATTTGAAACACAAATTTGCTTAATATTTTGTGTTTTTTTTTTCTTGAAAACTTGCCATATATGTATTTTTTATTGTCGCACGGGATCAATAAAAATCCATGCTATTAGAAATGTAGTTTTCAATGTGGATTACTGTAGAAATCGCAAAGTTTCAAGTTATCGAAGTTCGCCGGAAACAATTATTGGTGGAACTCTGTTTCTGAATCTGATAAGGTAAGAGAGAATGCTTCTAAAACCATATATAATCATATTTAATATACTGAAAATCATATTTTTCCCATAGAATTCGCAAAGCTCACCGGGTGAAATTCGATTTCCACTCACTGTATTTTCCTGATAGATGCCGAACCCGAACCGTTAACTTTGAGCTCAATTATCACGGTTCCTGTAAAAGATATCAAAAATCTGTCAATTGATAAAACATTGGTGACGTTATGAAAAATAGTTTATTAGTTGAAAAATTTTTGATATCTATTGAAGAAACCGAGCTAGAAGTGCTACGGTAGTATTATATTTGGATTTTTTGAAATTTTTTTTCGAAAAAAGATCTAGTTTAATACTTTTCTTATAAAGTGTTAGAAGCTTACAATCGAAAATTCAATTTGAAATCATCCGACTTATGAGCATCACGACAACACTATTGGGCCTCACTCGTACCTAGAGTAATCTTCGTAAGCCATCAACCCGAAGTACTAATTTTTTATTACCGCTGTTTTTTGATTGGAGTTCAAGAGTTGAGTTGTCAGAGCACGTGAAAGTTTTTTATTTTTCATACTTCCTCTGAGTAAAAATTTTCAGACACATTCATGGCTGAAAGTTGTGTTGTTTTTTTTGTTCACTTTCAATGAAGCTCAGAAGGCTACCGTACTTCCTCTAATAGAAGTATACTCAAATCTTCAACATTGAGCTCATTTATCTCGATTCCTGTCAAAGATATCAAAAACTTTTCAACTGATAAAATGTTGGTGATATTATGATGAACAATTTCACAATTAATCATTTTCAGACGACTTTCACGGGAATCGAGATAGTTGAGCTCTGAGCTGACGGTTCGGGTGGACTTTTATGGAAGGAATTACGGTATACTGATTGCCTGAGTTCGAAAAATTCAGTTTTCTTTATTTCTCAGCTTGAAAAAATGTTCAAAATGTAGTACTCGTCAAGGAGGGCACATTCCAAAGAAAAGACATATTACGCATATGGCCGGAGGCCCATGTACTCGTTCTCTTCCTCTTTGACACAAAAATAACACATACATAAGCGTCTTGTGAGGACGGAAGAGCTTCTCTCATAAAAAAGAATAACGGGACCGGCCGGGTGGCGGGGGTAGGGATTTGAATGAATGCACCGCCCTAATTCAAATCGCCATACTGTCCCTCTGCCCCGTCCATCATGTCTAAGTGATTGACCCGGAGGATTGGAGGAGAGAGGAATAGGAGAAGACAACCCCAAACACCTCCAAATCCTTTCATTGTCTTGTTTTTTGTTAGTGTTTTTACTGTTCACTCCTCAATTGCCTACCTCTTCTAACCACCAAAATTCTTAATTAAGTGACAGAACTGGTTCTAGTTACAACATTTGATTTTCATATGTTTCGAATTTCTGAGGTCGACCCTTATTTTTTGAGGTCTCCAGCCCTTCTCAGTTTCCTTGCGCATTTATTAACTATTTATTTGCTATAGGATCCTTTTTTGTCTCAATTTTTGTTTCCAAAGAATGTCAAAACCTTTTTTCTCTCGCTTGGACTCTCCCTGAAAATTTCAAAAACGAAAAGAAAAGACGAGTCAACCAACCGCGGCTCATCCAGAACCAACCAACACCACCACTCCAAACCACTTGCTCTTTTTTTTCGGGTTTCCATATGTAAACGAGCAGTGTCTCAACTCTTTCCATCTCCAGTTTCGAATATCTATCTCAATCTCATTCATCCATCCCCATACCCTCCCGTCGTCCCCACGCCCGTCGTCTTCTTTAGCCCTGCACACAATATAATACACTGCCAAACCCCAGATGTGTTGGTCCCTGGTAGATAGATAGAGAATAGTGGGGTGGGCCATTGCTAATAACTCTCTCGCAACGTCATTTTCTATGCGACAAGAGAGAGAGAGGCCAAACAGTGCATGGGGTCACCACTTCCCCATGAGAACGAATTCCGGGGTCTTGTGTGCCGAGGACCATTACGCATACACACACACACAGACTGTTCACCTGTTATGGTCCTCTTCTATATTCTTAGCATTCGGAGTTTATCGATTTTTTTTCTTGATTTTTATTTTTTGTTGCTAATTTGTCTTTTAAAATATTCTTTGAATCGGTTTCTTTGAATGCGCGTTGCGACCCAAAATTCAAAAGCGGGCGGGGCTCAGGTCCTGTAGTTCATCAGTTCACAATTTTTTCATATCTTTGACAGGAAACGAGAAAAATTAACTCAAAGTTGAAAACTAGGGGGTCCTTCTATTACAGGTTTTACAGTATACAACGTAACGTAACCCAAAAACCAAATTTTTTATTGCAAATGAATAGTTTCTACCTAGAAACCCAAGCTGATAGTTCTTTGCTAAAATTTATGTCCTTTTCAATAATTCGAATTTTCCACCTGTTCCTGTTCCCTTCCAAAACAAGAAACTAATTATAAACTGACGATAAACCTGCGACTGATACCAACCTAATCTCATCAACTTTGTTTGATTGACAGAATTCCTTTTAAAATGATCTTTGTGAAACCTCGAACCAAAAAACCTGATTTTTCAACTCTAAGCAGGTGCCATAATTGTTTAGTACTTTTTGGAAGTTGTACACAATTAAAAACAAGAATCAATGAGCAACATTCTAGATTTTGCTGGAAATTCTTTAAAAATTATATTTAGAAAGCTCCGGAACCCGCATCCTTCCTGTTTTCAATCCGAATTTCCCACTTACACCTTTCTTCCACTTGTTCGCTGTATTGTTATAAAAGTAGGTCAAAGATTTATGCTACTAGGAGCAATTATTTGTTATATTGACACTAGAGCTGCCGTTAGAATAATGACACCCTCACCGGTCTGGGCTAGCTTTTTTGGCTTCTCAAAACAAAACAAGAAATGCTCGGCGATTTTCTTGATTGTTATTTTTTAGTGTGTATATATGCACAAATGCATTTAATAATCGGTGACTATGAAACTGCTGTTACACGCTTGAATAGTTTTATCTGGGAGGTATAAACTTGTTTTCGAATATTAAAGCTTCCTGAATTTATTCGAATAGTTTTAGATGACGTTGAGTCAAGTAACCTCAACATATTGTGAATCAGGTTTTGATGGGGCTTTCAGGATAGGTTAAGAATCTTATTTAGACCCTTCTGAAATATTTTGTATTTGCTCGCCAGTTTCAGTAAAATTATATCAGTTTCAGTACCAAAAACAGCTATTTTCGACGATTTTCTAAACTTCTAAGACGTTTTAAAAAATTTTTGTTGCGTTGTTCTTGTGATTTCATTAATTGTCATATTTCAGACATTTTTTCAAATGGTATTTTTATTTTCGAATTGCGAACGATTTTCCAAATTTATTCGGAAATTGAAAAATAAACTTTTGCAGAAAATGTCTGAATTATGAAGTTCCATTAGTTTTTAACAACAAATGTCTTGCTCCAAAACCACCTAGAAGTTGAGAAAAACAAAATTTAAATTTCATATTTCTGACAAAAAATAAAATTTGTAAAAATCCAAGTGGAAAATTCGAAAAAAAAATGTTTTTGAGAAAATGTCTGAAATAGGAAATTTCGTTGAATTCTAATTTTAGCTCAACGAATCTCTTCCTTTGAATCGCCCAAGAAACTCAAAAATTGTAAAAATTGCTATTTTTGCACTTAAACGCCATTTTTAGTACTAAAACTTATATAACTCGGCTGAAACTAGCGATTTCCGGATTACAAAATTTTCAGAAAAAAACTAGACACGCTTGTCTTCACGAATTCTGAAAATTTCATCACGGTTTGTGGTCCGCTTATTAACTGGAAGGTGTGAACTTCTAAAATTTCAAATTCCTCTCTTTCTGGACACTTGATGTTTTTTAGACATCTTTGAAACAGGATAACCTCATTTATCTCCAACTGTAATAAAAAACTACGAACCGCCTCGCATTAAAATGTTGCGTTCTTCTTATTTTCCTTCTAATTGAATGGCTATCTAGGTTAGAAACAGACCAACAAAAAAACAAGGTCACCACTTTTTGAAATGAAATAATCCTCTCCTCAACGGTTTTTGATCATACCTCAAAAAAAATATTAAAGAGGCGAAAAAAGAAATATATTCATATGAAAAAAATAAGGCAGGAGGCTACTATGATGATGAAGACACATCCAGCGTGTTGATACTACTAAGAGCCCTCTACTTTTTTATTCATCATCTACTGTTTTGTCCCTCTCTCTCTTTTTTTAGAGCTCTACTCATTTTTTCATCCGTTTTCATCTTTTTTTCTCATTTTGTCGTTTCATATAAAAGCTCAAATTTAGTTAGGCCTAGAAGAGACCTTGTTAGCTTAATCATTAGTATTCCTGTCACATAAAAGGCTACCGAAAATGCGTAACAGTATATAAAGACCTCTTTTTGGGCAAACATAGTTTTTGTTGGGTGCGGCTGATCTGACTTGTCACCTCTTATCGTCACCTAATTCATTTTGATTCTTTCAATTTTTGGTTTCAAATAATTCCTGCCCTCTCCTCGTCTTCACTTATTCATCAGTCAAAACCCACCTGGTGCATCCTGAAGTGTAATCGTGGTGTCTTCACACTGTTGAGTTGTTGAGAATACCTTTTGATTTGTTGCCTAAGAC